GTGTGATTAAAACAGTGAGTGGGTTTATTTACAATTTGAGAGAAGCCAACTGAGTCTAATAATGAACAGAATATTGTTGAGGCTGTCATTGTCGGCATCTACATGAATATTAAAGTCGCCTACTATGATTATTTTATCTGTACTAAGCATTAAATCAGACAGAAAGTCTGAGAATTCACTGAAACTCTGAATAAGGAGCAGGTGGACGGTATACAATAACAAACAGAACAGGCTTTTGAGTTTTCCAGTTTGGGTGTGAGAGAATAAGGGTGAGACTTTACAATGTGAGATTGTCAGGTTAAAGCAAAGCTTTTCTCTGTTGACGGTCACTGCCACAAGTGGCAGTTATAGGATAACAGTAAATACTGAAACATCGTGTCACAGTAGCGTAAACGAGGAGAGCTCTGTGGTCACTAATATCAGCTATTCAGAAATCTTTGTCTAAACATAGCCACCATAAACTACTGGTCATACCCATAGTCTATGGTCATCCTAGACCAAGTACAGCAGCAAAACCTCTGGATGTATTGTCTTGAGCAATGCTGTGTTTTACTAAACACCACAGAGTGTATCTGCTGAAGTTGTGGTGCTATGTACAGGGACAATTCAAACTAGAAAATACTGGTCACACACATGTGAAATCATTTGCTTCACACTGTCAAAACTGCTACTGGGTGCATTTTAGTGACATCTTACTTTTTAAAAAGTTGCTTCTCGCTGCCTTTTAGGGCTCCATAGGTCCCAAGTTCTGCTTTAGTGCTGTGTCATTAGTTATATGTGTAACCTTGTTCTCTGTGTGTGTTTGTTCAGGATCCAGATCTTTCAGTACATCATCTACGGCATCGCGTCCTTCTTCTTCGTCTACGCCATCATCCTGCTGGCTGAGGGTTTTTACACCACCAGCGCCATCAAGAAGGAGCTGCAGAGCGACTTCAAGACCACCGTCTGTGGACGCTGCATCACCGCCTTTGTATGTCAACACACAAATACACACGTACCGGCAGCTCCTCCAAATCATCACACTCACTGGCTCAATTACACTTGAAATTATAGCCTCAAATGAGACTGAACTACTTTAGTGTGTATTTTATAACATCCTTATATAAAATAGTATTTACAGGCTTAGAAAAACTAACACAAACAGTCATTCATTATGTTTTACGAGTCTGGAGAAGGGCCAAAGTGTTGCAGAGGCACAATCACACACCTCTACAAACGCACACTTAAGAAAAGCAGACACAGGCAAACACTTGTGCACACTCACACACAAAGCTACTCCAGCCTTGAGGATAGCCCTGGCACAGTTTGCCCTTTGTAGCCTGATTAACATTAGCTTCAACTTGGATTGAAAGCGTGCTGTTGTCTTTAAGGAATAATATTAATCTAGTTTTTTAAATACTGTACATCTCAAACATTTGGGACAAAATCTACAGTAAACCTCTTCTTTTTTCCTCCTCTCTTCAGTTCATGTTCCTGACCTACGTCCTCGCTCTGATCTTCCTCACTATCTTCGGCTTCACAGCGATCCCCGTTTTCCTCTTCTTCAACATGTGGAGCACCTGTGCTGCCATGAGGAACCCTGACGCCAACGTCACCTCACCAGACTCTATCTGTGTGGACGTCAGGCAGTACGGTGAGTAGTCAGACCTACAGTCATTCTTACTGTTAAATAACAATAGATGTAACCACTCTGCCTGAGCCTTTGACTCTGACCTAGGACCATCTCAGTGTCATGTTTCTTAGAATTTCTTCTAATAAATAACATCAACAATTAAAGCTACTGAAGATTTCTCATCTCAGGCCACACTGACCTTTATAGTTTTGCTCCAGCTCCATTTCTCTACACCTGGTCTAATTCAGGACGACATGTTTTCACTACAGTTTACGAGTGGATTACGAGTGCAGGAGCAGGGCTTGTAGTCCAGGTGATAACTGGTTTAATGATGCCAGTGTTTTACAGCAGGAAATGAACAGATAATGCTACTTTTTTGTGGCTCAAGATTTTTGTAGATTCACATAGATTGTCTCCTCACACATTTCTTCATCTTCAGACATGTCAACTTTATGCCGAAAAGGGAAATTTATGGGAAATGTGACATTTATTCTAGTAGTAGTACAACATGCCACATGTAACCTGGACAGAATAAATCTAAGCTACAGTACCTCCATCAGCTCTGCTTCTGTGTCATGTTAACTCAGTCAGTTTGGACAGGACGAGTATAAGAACCAAATTCTTCGCATTATGTTGGAGTCATAGTCAAGGAATCAGATAAAAGATATACAACACTCAGATGTGTTATCAAAAATCTAGAGCTTAGTAGGACACAAGAAGAAGCCAACATGAAGCTCCAACTCATGTAAACACATTTAAATGTTTTTTTTTAAGCTCATTCCAATACATCAGCTCTTTTCTCTTTACGTAAAGATGCCCCCCCCCCCCCCCCCCACACCACCCACCCACAGACATCTGCCTGCCACTGCAGCATGTTGCATTTCCCTGGCACATTGTGATGTGCAGCTGAACACGGGGTGAGACCACACACTGTGTTACACATTCTCCAAGTTTAAGAGAAAATCCCCTGATCAAGGCAAGTGAGCTCAAACATGCAATACGAGCTTTATAAAGGTTCTTCTCTCACTGTTTCCCACATGTAGCCCAGGCCTTTCCTGCAGGACAGAAAATTCTAGAAAGAAGCCAGCTTCTTACCAACTATAGTGTGATTCAAAAGGCTTTACTGGAAGCAACATCACATGTGTATCTCCAGCTGCTTTAAAGGGTCAAAGCATACATTTAGATTACTGAGAGCCTCCTGTGACTGCATATTTGATGGCCTAATGTGCAGTATGTGAGTCGCATTTAAAGAGCTGGCCGGCTTAGGATCACATGTACTTCACTGGCAATCCTATTGTTCTAGTTGTCATTAAATCTATAATGAAATTAATTATTTTAATGAGAATAATGTATAAACAAGAGTAAACCAGGCAGTTAAAAGAGCTCCACATCTATACCGGGCAGTGTTTTTACAATAAAGAAGATATTCACAATAATGACCCATATTTTTCCTGTGGGAGAGGCTCAGAGGCTGGGACAGCAGCAGCTTTAGTCTTTATCTCAGCCTAATTCATAATGCTTTCAATCACACGGACTCGGAGGAGTGAAAAGCTTCGTGTTTCCAATTCTGCAGGTATTATTCCCTGGAACGCCACACCGGGAGTAGCTTGTGGAGCCACACTGGGAGAGATCTGTAACACCAGTGAGGTGAGAGGACGCTGCCCTGACCTTCTCGCTTTTTATTTTTCATCCTTTATTTTCCTTTACTCACCGGTTTCTCTTTGCATCCGCAGTTCTACCTGTCCTACCATCTCTACATTGTGGCATTAGCCGGTGCTGGAGCCACCATCATTGCACTGGTAAGCTTCTCATCATCCCACTGATGATGTGCTGCTCAAAATATGCACGTTGCCATGGCGTGCTTATCTGTTGCCATAGCAACCCCGCCTCTCACGTTCATCAGCGTGTCATTCTATGGGCTGAAATCCTACCCTGCAGCATGCCTGTGAGAGTGAGTGTGTGTGTGTGTGTGCTTACAGAGGGTCAGCGCTTTACTCAGCTGTGGAGGCGGACTGTTAGGAAATGGAGATACTAACAAATCAATAAGCACCTCTCCAGATGTTGTGTTGGTTCATCTGTACTGAACTCCCTTCCTGGTACTCTGATGTTTTACAGTGTGCGAGATAGAACAAGATATTAAGAACAATCCCAATCTACTTAATTCTACTACTACTCAGGGTTTTCAGATTGTGATGACAGTAGGGAAGAAGAAAAAACATGCTACTCACAGCTGTAAAACAGCTTTAAAAAGATCTTGGGAAAGTTTCCATAATAAAGATGCTGCTTTTGTGTGACACAAGCTGTGTACTTCTGTGTAGAGCATGTACTATATGGTAGTAAATCAAGCATTTTTTAAGAGGCATACTGTTTATGAGTAAACTTTATTTTACCCTTTGTCACTGTGAAAACAATATATTCAGTACCTGCTTAAAATGGTGAAATTGGGAGTCTGCTGTAGTTTGATCAGGGTCCATCATGTTCGTACTCCAGTTTCAGTTAAGAGTTAAATACTGTACATTGTTTTATGCAATAGTAATCATTAGTATACAGAAGATAGTGCATCTAATGTTGTATGGAAATGGGACCCGGCCCCAGTCCTCCATTCTGTTTCCTGTACTTAATGAAGAAAAGCTATGTGTTTCTCCTCAGATCCACTACCTAATGATTCTGGCAGCTAACTGGGCCTACCTGAAGAGCGCCATCTCCACGCACGAGTACCAGGACATCAAGACCAAGGACGACCAGGACTTAGAGGCTGAGGCGCGCTCCAAGGAGGGCCAGAACTCCTCCTCTTACTCATAAGGATATGAGATCCTCTTCCGCCGCCACCCACCTCCTCTGCACACCTCAACCCTCACCCCACAACACCAAGCACCCGCCCGTCCCTCCGTTAAAACAAACCACCTCGGTAACGTTAGTCCCCCATCTCCTGATTCTCCATCCTCTTCCCCTCCACAATGTTTACTAAGAGTTGTGGGCACGCGCTCACACCAGAGGGGAAGAGAATAGAAGATCAGGAGAAGCGGCAGGCCCAGACGGAGGCAGATGCTTCAGAACAGGAGAGCTCGCCCGTCGGGGTCGAGCTCAGGTACGGTACGTCATTTGAGAAGCGTCTCCTCCCCCGTGCTTTTGGACAGCGGCTCGTGAACGTGGCCCGGCTGTGATGGCCTCGCGCCCTGAGCCAGCACAGCCTCTTGACACAGCTCCTAACAACCTAAAAAACATTGTTCACTGCAGCCACAGGGAAGCCAGGCAGCGACCAACTTCCTCCGTTTTTTGGTGTTTTATATGCATATATATATGACTATGAATATATTGTGTGAATGTGTACGAATGTTGTTGTTTTTTTAATAAGCTCTGAAAAGTATGCCAGGTACTATTATGATGTTTCTTCTTCTTCGTTATGTTTTTGCGCTCATAAGTTTTCCTTTCCTTTTCTCTCCATCTTTAACTTTTATTGCTAAAGCTCAGTAAGTTGTTGCACTATTTAAGAAACACAAAAAATAAGGGAGAGTGAAAATCCCTTCAAAACACAAAGCACCCCAGCTTCCCTCTCTCACAGAAATTCCTAAACTCCTCCTGTGGTATCTCAAGGATTACTGTGCATTTACATGAACAGAGTTTATTTGTCCACCAAGGTGTTAACTGTTCATTTAAGACCAGAGGTGTAGCAAACCTTAAAGTTTGGGGAAATATTTGCTTTCTTGCTAAGAGTTAGACAAGAAGACTGTTAGCACTCTTCTTTCTGTGTAGTAAATATGAAGCTACAAACAGGAGACCAACTAATAATTGTCCCGTTTGTTTAATTCACACAAAATCCAAAGTGTGAAAGAACAACTTGTGTTTTTATGCTGGGGTTATAGGCCCTGCTAACCACAACCCCAACTTGTAGTTTTTACACTTTATGTGTGAATTAAGCAAACAAAATGTATTAATGAACAAGCTTGGTAGGCTGATTTTATTTCTTTTAAACAGAACCAGACTACCAGTTCCCTGCTGTTCTCAGTCTTTAAGCTAAGCTAACTAGCTGCCGCATCAAACATGACCGTGCTAACAGTCTTCTTATCTACATCTTGGCAAAGAGAGTAGATATATTTCCTAAAATGTCAACTATTCCTTTTAAACCCTTTATGGTTTTGCTACACTCATCACCAGCGGCAGCAGAAATCAAAGATAAATCTATCCGGGTCTTTTAACGCAAAAAAAAAAAGACAGACACCTCAGGTATCACACCAAATCTGATTTTAGCTCGCTGTGCTCTCTTCCAGAGCGTCACCATCTACCCTCATTGGATTGGTACACTATACAGTAAAGTCCATCATCTTCTAAACGTTCTCATCTTGAGGTTCACCTGTAAATAGCCAAATAACCCTAAAAGATCTCGATTCACACCCTCCCAAAATGGGGAGAACACAAATGGCGCGTTTTGACATGCTCTTGTATGATTTTTTTCCACAAATATATGTAAATGTACCCTTTGAGATATGTGTTTAGCACTCAAATACTAGATCTGCATTTGATATACTCATTGTAATGTAACATCTTAGATGATATGTGGTGAGAGGGATACAGTGATATGACGATGGATTGAGGTGCTTGTGATGTATACATTTTAAAATATGAAAAAAAAATTGAAATTGATTTTTAATGTTTTATCAGTTTTAGGCAGCTGAGTTCTTCTTGTGATTCAGTAATAATGATTTTATGGAACTTGTTTGTGCTTATTTTTCACTGGCCAGCGACTCATTGACACACGGGCTGAGGAAAAAGTCACGGTTTTCTTTATTTTCTTTTTAACGTCATGCCTCTCATATAAGCCACAGAGACTGTTTTGGATGTTTACACTGAATAAAACCAGTCAGGAATTTTCATACATTAATTTTATAATCAGATATTATTTAACTATATTCTATATTGATCATCACTGGTTAGTTTACCCTAAAAAAACACTGAAGATGACCAATTTTTCAACTTTGATGAGAAGCATGTCAGTATCGTCCATGTGTGCAGCTGTCTATTCTGTATAAAAAAGGACTATATTGCCATGTGTGTTATGTTTGATAAATATATGTGCTTTGCCACCAGGTTGATGTAAAGGCAAACTCCAATTTCCTATAAGACGATGCGTGTCAGGGTGTTGTTGTTTCCTCGTTATTTGCATGAAGGAGACATGGCTGTGTCTTTGCAGTTTTTCAGGTGATGTGTAGTCAATTGTACTGACAACTATGGTAGGCAGTGTTTGCCCCCAACCCCCCACCCACCTACTCTTTTATGAAGAAAACTCCATTGTACTTTGATGGCATTGTAGTCCCTGTAGGTGTTTCATTATGGTTTTATTTTTTAAGTTGGAAATAGTTCTATGACTCCTATATAGTGATGATTTTTGTAACATTCTCTAGTAAAACCGATATTTTTTATTATCGTGACACTGTTGTCTCCTGCCTCTTTCTTGAGTCTGGGTCTCTCAAGTGATATTTGTTTTGGTTGCATGGATGCAGCATTGTGGGGAGCATTTTAAGACTAGAGTTTAATGTTACCACATGAGGTATCATTCAACACAAAACTGATGCAGGACTTGCAGATGATCTGACCGACGCTTGGTGTGATACCAACACAAATTATTAAATTATACATTTTCTCATTATCGATGCAACTCCCCAACCAAATGCATAACCGGCCTGCAGTTTTGTAGTCAACTCACTAGACCTCGAGTTCGAGTCGAGTCCCAAGCCCCCGGTGTTCGAGTGCGAGTCAAGTCTGAGTCACCAAAATAAGAATAGTCCAAGCTGAGTCCAAGTTAAGAGCCATCGAACCTGAGTCATCAGCACCAAAGTCCAAGCTGAGTCAGGACTCAAGTCCGCGCCCTTGGCTAGACTACCACAACGCCATACAGTTTCAATAATGGATAAACATTAATTCACAAACTCAATCAGGACATGTATCAAACATGACTTTCATGACACACGAATACTTTCTATACTTCCTTATCATTTAAAAGTGAATCAAATGATGATTATAGTGACCTAAAAGGCTAACAACCTGCAATCACATTCTCACCTAGTCAGGTGACCTGGCCCTGTGGGTGCTGTTTGTGGTGCTTATTCTCTGTATGCAAGCAACTGTGATAAAGTAACTACTGCAGGGGACTGACAAACACATGCAGCTAAATCCAGGCAAGCAAGGAACAAAAAACAATAACCACATTAGAAATGGCACACATAGCTACATGGGCAGTTCAGTCAACAGTAAAGCTACGGAGAGGGAAGGAGCGTGCATTTCACTCACCCTGTTTGAACAGGACGTCTCCTGTGGTATAATGTCCCACTGGCCATTAGGTCCACCACAGCTTTTTAGACATGCCAAGGAACAGCTGGTGATGTGCTGGTATCACAAGGATAAGGTGGAGCGTCTTAATCTCAGGGGGTGTGGCCTGTAGATCGTCATCATACAGGTGTACCAGCTCACCTGGTGGCTTGTGAAATAACTGCAGCTCATTCCTTAGCTGCGAAATACAGCAGGCTTTGCAGAAAGATGCAAATGATATGTGGTATGTGAAAAAAAACTCTGGTACCCCAAGCGTGCAGGTCTCTGGGCCATGTGCTATACCACACTGTAACCAGTGTGGAAGTAAACCTTTCTTGTCCTGTGCCCAAGTTCTGGTCCTGGACCACTCCCAGGACCTGAAGTGGTCATCCAACATCAGGACCATCACCAAGAAGGCACAGCAGAGGATGTACTTCCTGCGCCAGCTCAGGAAGTTCGACCTGCCCCAGGAGCTGCTGATACAGTTCTACAGAGGAATCATCAAATCTGTTCTCTGCACCTCCATCACTGTCTGGTTTGGCTCAGCAACCAAACAGGACAAGTACAGACTTCAGTGGACAGTCAGGACTGCAGAAAAAGTCATTGGTGTGAGCCTTCCCCCCATGGAGGACCTGTACACTGCATGAGTCAAAAGGAGGGCGGAGAGGATCACTGCAGACCCCTCACACCCCGAATACAATCTGTTTGAACTCTTCCCCTCTAGACGGCGTTACAGGTCACTGTGCACCAAGACAACCAGGCACAGGGACAGTTTCTTCCCCCAGGCTGTCGCTCTGATGAACACTTAACCCACGACAGTATGACTGGACAATAACCCTCAGTGCAACACCTGTAAATATACCTCGTACAGATTATACAGATTCTTGTACAAATTATAGAGACTTGTACAGGTCTCTTGTTTTTATCCCTATTTATCTCATTTCAATGAACATTCCTTTGTTGTCTGCATTGTTTACTGTCTGTTTATACTGCTTTTTCTGCATTGTTTGCACTGGTTGTTGATGTTAATAATGCTATTTTGTTATATTACACAGCCTTATGCTGGTTTACTGTTTTGCACATTGAGAGCCGATGTACCAGAGTCAAATTCCTCGTGTGTCCATCACACCTGGCCAATAAAGCTGATTCTGATTCTTATTCAAAGTCCAAAACCCTCCTTTTTTCCTCTTCGTACGCAGCTATAGATTTGGCTTTGGCCTGTTGCCAGATTCAATTTTAAGTTAATGTTGTAGTGGGAGGTTGGAAAAACTGCTTTATACTTAAAAACTCAACGTTTCCACCCTAAATAACTGCACTTGCTAATGTTACTACAT